GTATGGCTTTGATCTAGCACAATTCTATTAATGCTAAAAGTTTGTGACTAGAGAGATGATTCTGTAGTTAAAAATACTTGCTGTTCTTGTAGAGGACAGACATTCAGTTTCCAGCACCTAGGTCCTGGGGAAGTTCATAACACCTATTACTCCAGCTCCAGAAGTCCTGACTCCCTATTTAGTTCTGCAGTCCATCTTTTAATTGCATTGTTTGGTGTTTTGGTGGCTAGCTTCTTGATTTCATTGTATATTTTGGTGATCAGCCCTCTGTCAGATGTGGGTTGGTGAATTCTGTGGGCTAGCGTTTTGTCTTGTTGACTGTGTCCTTTGTGTTACAGAAGCTTCTCAGTTTCAGGAGGTCCCATTTATTAATTGTGGATCTCAATGTTTGAGCTACTGGTGTTATGTTCAGAAAGTGGTCTCCTGTACCAATTTGTTCAAGGGTGCCACCTACCTTCTCTTCTAGGAGGTTCAGTGTGGCTGAATTTATGTTGAGGTCTTTGATCCATTTGGACTTAAGTTTAGTTCATGGCGACAGATATGGATCAATCTGCAATCTTCTACATGTCCGAATCCAGTTATGCCAGCACCATTTGTTGAAGATGCTTTCTTTTTTCCATTGTATAAATTTAGCTTCTTTGTCAAAAAGCAGGTGTTCATAGGTGTGTGGGTTAATATCAGGATTTTCAATTCAATTCCATTGGTCAACCTGTCTATTTTTGTGCCAATACCAAGCTGTTTTCAGGACTATAGCTCTATAATAGAGCTTGAAGTCAGGGATGGTGATGCCTCCGGAAGATTCTTTTTTGTACAGGGTTGTTTTGGCTATCCTGGGTTTTTTGTTTTTCCATATGAAGTTGAGTACTGTTCTTTCAAGGTCTGTGAAGGATTGTGTTGGGATTTTGATGAGAATTGCATTGAATCTGTAGATTGCTTTAGGCAAGATTGCCATTTTTACTGTGTTGATCCTACCTATCCAAGAGCATGGAAGATCTTTCCATTTTCTGGTATATTCTTTAATGTCTTTCTTTAAAGACTCAAAGTTCTTACCATACAGGTCTTTCTCATTTTTGGTTAGTGTTACCCCAAGATATTTTATGTTGTTAGTTGCTATTGTAAAGGGTGATGTTTCTCTGATTTCTTTCTCAGCACATTTATCTTCTGTTATATAGTAGGGCTACTGATTTTTTTTTTTTCAGTTAATCTTGTATCCTGCCACTTTGGTGAAGGTGTTTATCAGCTGTAGTAGCTTCCTGGTAGAGTTTTTTTGGGTCACTTATGTAAACTATCATATCATCTGCAAATAGTGAAAGTTTGACTTCTTCCTTTCCAATTTGTATCCCTTTGATGTCCTTTTGTTGTCTTATTGCTCTAGCTAGGTCTTCAAGTACAATATTGAAGAGATATGGAGAGTGGACAGCCTTGTCTTGTTCCTGATTTTAGGAGAATCACCTTGAGTTTCTCTCCAGATATTGAAGAGATATGGAGAGTGGACAGCCTTGTCTTGTTCCTGATTTTAGGAGAATCACCTTGAGTTTCTCTCCAGTTAGTTTGATGTTGGCTGTTGGTTCTCAACAGAGGAATCCAAAATGGCTGAAAGACACTTGAGAAAGTGGTCAGCATCGTTAGTCGTCAGGGAAATGCAACTCAAAACCACTCTGAGATACCGTCTTACTCCTGTCAGAATTGCTAAAATCAATAACACCAATGACAATCTATGCTGGAGAGGATGTGGAGAAAGAGGAACTCTCCTCCATTGCTGGTGGGAGTGCAAACTTGTACAACCACTTTGGAAATCAGTGTGGTGATTTCTCAGTAAAATGGGAATCAGTCTACCTCAAGATCCAGCAATCCCTCTCTTGGGCATGTATCCAAAGAATGCACACTCATTCAATAAGGGCATATGTTCAACTATGTTCATAGCAGCATTATTTGTAATAGCCAGAACCTGGAAACAACCTAGATGCCCCTCAACTGAAGAATGGATAGAGAAAATGTGGTATATTTACATAATGGAGTACTACTCAGCAGAAAAAAAAAACAAAACAAAACAATAGAATCTTGAAATTTCACAGGCAAATGGATGGGACTAGAAGAAACCATCCTCAGTGAGGTAACCCAGTCTCACAAAAAATAATCATGGTATGTACTCACTCATTTTTGATTTTTAGACATAGAGCTAAGTATCATTAGCCTACAATCCTCACTGCCAGAGGAGCTAGGAAACAAGGAGGACCCCA